ATTCACTTTTAATGAGATTCAAAATTTTGGAAATTATATTTCTGAATTTAAAAATCCGATTTTACGAATTTTAAAAATTTCCTTACTCATTTCATGTTAAATTCGATGCTGAACAACTTTTATTTCCACACTTTCTTTCCAAAACGCTTCTATCATGCATAACCTTCGATAAGGCTTTCCTAAATCACCTGTTGCACTGAAAAAGCATCGGACAAGTCAAACTCAAATGTCTCGATCAAACTTTATTCGATATCAATGAATCTTTTTTTGTAGAAACATCTCGACATAGCCTATCGAATGAGATCAAAATTAGCTTTTCATCTCAAAAAATAAGAATTTTGTAAAAATTTTGCATATATTAAAGAAAAAATCGTGATAAAACTAAAAAAATTATTTTCTCAAAAACTACAGTTCCTAAAACCGAAAAACTTTTGGAATATAGGTTTCGGAGTATGCTGTACAAAATGGTTGGAAAAAATGAGTGGGTAGGTCATCAAACTACCTCTTTGACTGTAATCGAATGGTTTTCCAAGAAAAAAATCGATCGAACAAATTGAGAATGCTTCTTCGAAAGAATTGTTTTAAATATGTAATTTGCACTGTTAAAGAAAGCAGTTGAACATATTTGAAAGGATAAAATAATGAAAGTCCGATGGTGATTTGCAGTGTACGTAAAGTGTACGTTTACACTATCTGAACAGTTCAAGAGCGACAACGAATAATGTTTGGAGAAAAACTAAAATGTAAAATTCGGTAATATCTTCGATGTTAGCTATAGAAGATATATGAGACCACAGTAAAAAAGTGAATGAAAAGTAGAGACATTAAATCTTAGATTATTTTCTTACTAAGATAATTTTAAGATGTGCTACAATTTTTAACTGTTTTGGTTTTCGAATGACAAAAAGCGTAGTACTCTAATTACTACATATGATAGATAGTAGAATAAAATGAGGAAAACTGTTGTTATTATTTACCGACATAACCGGTTCTTGATATTTTACGTCGAAAATAAAATTTTTCTGTATGAATGGCATCACGTTTTTGTGCATTCTGCATATTTTCATCAACCTTTAAAACATAAGACAAAGAGAAGAACGATAGAATTGTTAAATTAACTATAATAAAAGCATACTTTTGATATTGGTATTAATAAATTTAATTCATATGTTACTATTGTTCGTGTTAATAAAATTAAAAAGACGGATAATGCAGCATTTTCAAAATCTGTTATTTGTAACTGAAAAAGATGTAAAAGTATGATTTTATAGGATATTTTTAGCGGAGAAACTCGTAAATAATATCAAGTTCTACTATTCATTAGCCGTTCCCACTGCCAAGTCTTGTACAACTAACGGATGGTGCAGAATAAATCGGTTACTTAGTGTTTGGCTCATATCTTAGTTGGATTTTATCCCCTAAGCTTTACTGTTTTCTTAAATGATGTGCCATGAAATTCTCTATAAATTCGCTAAACATTTTTTTATATATCGTAAAGATAAAAGAATATAGAAGAAATACTGTGAAGTTTCAATCTTGATTACTTTGCAACCCAAAAGACAAGAAAAACAAAATTTATTTTGAACACAGTACCATACGTCAGAGTGGAATCAAAACGTAAGTTCTGGTGTTCCGAACTGTCGTCATACTTTTCGTTGATCAGAGGTTTGATTTAAACTTGTTTTTCTGGCACAAAACTACTACTACTACTAAAATTTATCGAAAAAAGAGGAGTATTGTTTTTTTCGCAGTGACACAGGAAAAGAAGAGAAAATATTGAATTTACCCTGTAAGGATGCAACAGAAGAATTATTTTATTTTATTATACAGCAAATTCGACCTCAAAATATTTGATTTTAGCCGCGTTATAAACGTTTTCCTAACTATACCAAAACTGCAGTTGAAAAATATTGGTTTCGGGAAAAATCGATAAAAGAAAACAAGACTGAACCTTTACAGTATTTCTTCTATATTCTTTTATCTTTACGATATATAAAAAAATGTTTAGCATTTTTTTTTTATAGAGAATTTCAAGGCACATCATTTAAGAAAACAGTAAAGCTTAGGGGATAAAATCCAACTGA